GGAGTCTGGTGTACACAAGTCAACATGTGAGTCTCACAAGGAATGTAGCAAAAAAAAGTGAAAGTGTTGATCTATGGATGTACCCCTACTGGCACCCAAAGATGGTCCCCAGACATTACAGCAGCTGAAATAACATACCTTAGCTTCCCTTTATGCTTACACGAAGTTGTAACAATTGCATTCAAATAAACTGTTGTATATTTGTTCTTCGTGTGATCAACCCCAAACCTTCAACCTGCGTAGTTTATTTTATTAAGTTAAATATAATAAAATGCCATCCTAATGCCTTCCACACTGTTGCATGCAAACACGCTCTCTGACCCACATTTGGTTTTATGGGACCTGGTCTAATTTAGGTGTGTGCAGGTTAACGTGTAAACCTGCATGAATTAGTCTGACTGTCGCAGCCCCCACCAGTTCTGTGGGCTGCATGACACCTACCGATGCTAACTACTGTAGCTACTGCACCGCTTTCAAACCACTATGCTCGCTCCTGCTTCCATTTGCTGCCACCTCTGCACTGATTTATGTCTCATTTCTGAACTGCACGCTGTGGGCATTACTGCACGGTTGCCACCACTGCTGCTGCTGTTGTTGTTGCTGTTGGTGTTGTTGTTGTTGTCGCTGATCTTGTTGTTTAAGCAGTGTTGTGTGCAACCTCCTCATGATGGAAGCACACTTCACCTCCATTTTCGGGCTTTAGTAGGAGTCAAGATTTGGAAAGATAAATTACAAAAACGAGGTGAGAGCTTCACCTACCTTGTCAGTTTCTTTCTTCCACGCTGCCAGATGTTTATCGACCTTAAAGTTGTTTGAATCTTTCGTACTGTGCCTTCTGCCACGGTTTCTCTCCCCTTGCTAGGCTCGACACCAGCGAGAGCAAGCTAGCAAGGACTAATAAGGCCTTTTCCGGTCAAGAATTTCGCAATAAAAGCCTGTTTCGTCAACATAAAACGGCGTGCATTTTTTTTTTAATTAAGTAAAATACAATTATTTAAAGTAAAATAAGCTTGAACTCAAAGCTGTTGGTAAAAAATATTACTTTCGGAGAAAAGGTATTTTTTAAACTCTTACTTTACAGGAGGAAAAATCAGTATACAGTTACCCATTGTTTTTTTTTTTTAATGGGTTTTTAAATAAATTTAATACCTGCATTTTTTTTTAATCTCTCAGTGTGCATTTAAAGTGAATTTAGATTAAGTTTCAACATAACTTATCAAATAAGCGTCCTAGTGTTTCAAGGTTGGCCAGACTTGCTTTTAAGGATTTTTGTGTAAACTTGGATAACTTGTTTATTTACTTCCTAATAACTTCCAAAACTTTAAATTATTTAATTATAGGTAGTTACATAAATTACTTGAGTTTATTGCCAGAGAGTCGGGTGAACATGCGTGGTCCTCAAAAGGAAATGTAAATCAGTTAATAAAATGTTAAAAAATAATAATAATAAAAATCCACTGGTCCTACTAAAGATTAAGTTGGGGTACTATTAAAATGACCTCACCCTGACTACATGATCACACAACTTTTCTAGAAAGCTCTAAGCCATCGTAGTCCACTGGCCTTAGTGTGCGCACTAGCCGCCGGAAGTCCTAGAAAACACAGAAGAACTGAGGCCAATTTAAAATCCTAAACACAAACAGAACAAAGCAAGCCCTATACTGAAAGTACAACTCAATGAATGACAGAAATTCAACACCACAGAGCCCAGGTATATGGGTATATGACTCCTGAGGAAATACTTTAAAACGAGTCTCTCTGGAGGAAAACCTATCCCCAGTTATTACTCAATCAGCTACAGTAACTCATTCAGGAAACAGTAGATCTACTGCACACATACAGATTAGAGTACTGTGTTGAATCAGCTTCCTTCTCTGAGCAAGACGAAGCGGCCTATTACACTTGGTCCTGTGCTTTTACACCTTAGCATCTCCCACAAACACAGTTCTTACAACTGCTGAATCTCCTAAGCACCAAAGGAATCCCTACACCACATATGCACTACATATTTACTAACTAAATGACAAAAAGATAAGCACTTGGGTTTAAGTTAGGTTTAGGTTAATAGCAATAAATTATTTATTTATTAAAAAAAAAGATAAACCATATTATAATCCCAGGGTTTGTGTTATATATAGCATTTTACTTTCACTTAATATGCCAAATGTCAAGGTGATGCTAATGTATTTAAATTAATCAGTAAAGCCAGCTTGGATTCTGACCCGGTTTTTTATTTTATTTTATTTGTTTATTTATTTATTTTGTTAAGAAAAAAAATCGAGACGTGTATGTAAGAAAGCCGTCCTAGAAACAAATCTTTCCACTTCATCTAAATTAGTTTAAATTTTAATTGGAGAAAAGAAAGAAAGAAAAATACATGTATAGAAACACAAGTCAAATCCCTGGCTAAAAAAAAAAAGTTGAAATATTTTTAAAATATGCTTTGACAAATTCTTTTTTACCACTATCTCTGCTCTTTGAACTCAGGACTCTCTCTCTTTCTCTCTGGCTCTTATCCGTTTTTTAACTCTGCCTAACTTGACGCCTCTCTGACGTCACCTGTTTACTGACTTCCATTCGAGAGCACGTTTCACACGTGACAGACGTTTGGGGCCGGGCTCGTGCTCGCTCTGTTCTCGTGCACATGGAGCTATCCCCCCCAAGCCTCATTAAAGCCCACCTGCCCTACCAGCTACTCGGAAGTTATGGGCCTGCGTTGTTTCTGCAGTAAAAGCTGGATCGCTCCAGCAGCTGCCGTCCCTCCCTTTAAAGTGTCGTTAATGACGCAGCCCTCGGTGAACCAGCAGCCTGACTGATTTTGGAGTTGTGTGTTTTCTGCCACCTGGCGGTCACAATGAGAGCTTGCAACAGCACACTTGGGTGCCGAATAAACATCTATCCAATGATCAGTATGAGCCGCTCGTATTGCTGTGATTATTACACTGCTATGTGGAAACACCTGAGAGTAGTGTAATTATGTTAGCTGTAGTCTAGCAGTTATATTGAGAAAAAGTGCAACATCACTGTCTGAAATTGCACAATAGTAAAAAATAAAATGTGGGTCAGCACCTCTAAATGTGGCATTTCTTCCTTTCTTTCTTGCGAGGCCAGAAGAAACTAATTGTCAGCACAGCCCTGATATCATCATCATGTTCAGTAGCTATAGATCAGCATGAATTTGGAGTCACGTTTCTCTCAGCTGGCGCTCGGCAGGGAGATGTGGTCCTTTTGTAGCTAGATGCTCTTTTGCACTCTCCTCAGGATCTTCCTAGAGCTTTATAAATCTGTGTTTATATATTTCCCAAATAGACATTAACGTTGACATTTATCCTTTTAATAAGTTGCAATCAAATAAATATTGATTATAGCAGCTCTTGGTCACAGTAAAATTTTTCTAAACACATAAAAAGGTTGTAAATAGATGAATTATTTAAACCCCAATCAGCCACACTATTTTAGCAGCAGATATGGGGCTATCATACAAAAACTCTATTATTTCTCTGTGATATCCTCTGTTCTAATGTAATTATCTTGCTGGTGTAGAGGGGATGTAGGGATGCCTGAAACTGCGACTGCATCTGAAAGGTACCATCTGTTCATCCCCACCGAGATCAGTGCCAGAAATATTGTTTTTGAAATATCCCTGAAAGCAGCGAGTTTGTCTAAGGCCTGACGATCTGCTCTGGTTATTCAGCTGCAATTTGACAGCCAAGTAACCCAGAATCAGAATATTTTTATGGTCTTATGTGATATTCTTGGGCCACATTCACATTAAAATGCTGTGCATGCCCACATTTTCTGTCTTTGACACCAGTAAATTTTGTAACATCCTTTCTTCTTCCTTTAAGTGAGCTGAGTCATTGGTTTATTTAAAAAAGAAAGTGCTGAAACCTAATTTTGAGTAGTCTAGAGCAGCTTTCATGTAATCATTTCCTCATTATTTTAGCTAAAGTTTACATCAAGTATACTTAACACATGTACTGTGTTTTGGGATGTGCACAGTCTTTTGATGTAGGTGTTCATCCTAACTGTGAGGCACTTTGTAACTGTGTTTGTTGTTGTCGTTGTTGTTGTTTTAGAATACAACTAAAGTTATTCTTTTTTTTTTCTAATCCAATGCTGTTTAGAGTCAGCGTTGTTTGCTGCCCTCTAGTGGTTGTCATGTGCATTACATAAAAATTTACATTAAGGTATTCAGGCATAATAGGACACAGCCTGTAGCTGACATTAAAATCAAATCAAATCAAATAATACCATAAACTCTTACATAAATATTGGCCTCTGTAATAATATTAAAGCGTTTAAAATATAATTTAAAAACAAAGCAGTACAAATTACGTTCTGATTGGGTGTTTTCTGACATGACGTTTCCATGGGCGGGGTTTTGCATTAGCAGGAAGCTTGACGTCACGTTTGTTTTGGGAGAACGACGGAGACGACAGGAAAATGGAGCAAAGCGCTGAGGATTATAAGGTACTCCTGAATTAAATGTTTAACACGTTTTCACTGGCTGTTTCTGTGAATGTTCGTAACTGTGTGCTGTTTAATATTGGGCAGAACTTCTGATAGCTGACTAATGGTAGCACCTAAAGCTAGCTGTGGATCTCCAGTAACGTTCGTTAAGCTCGAGCTGGGCTACGTGGTGCTTTAGCTCGATATAAGAGCTGGATATATTGTTTGTATAGTTGTGTGTATAACCACACAGACATGAAAGCTTAAAGTGTGTTCAGAAAGTCGCGAACTTAATTCAACTTTTCCTGTTTGGCTGTCTCGCTTTCACCCACTGACCTGAGCAGAGCAGTGACTTTATAGTCATGTGACGTGAATGTGTCACTTACCAGCTCTTTGTTATGATTTACCTGCCGGGTCAGCTGTTTGACTGGTCACGTGGTGCACGGGCTCGTTAATCACATTTGGGCACTGGGTGGGCTACATTTGCATTTTTTTATTTTTTTTATTAGTATCATTTAGTTTTTAATTTTAGTTTGCTGTCCAGTTTTCCAAAAGGTAGCCATCGTCAATCATTTTTCAAATGAGGTTTAATTTACCCAATTCTTGTTTCTCAGACGGTGAAAAATAACAGGAAAATACGTTAATCTTCTAAATAAGGTCTCGATGACCTCGTTTGCCATAACTATATGCTATTAAAGCGTTCGAGCTATTTCCTAGGAAATACCGAGCTGTCATTTAGCTTCCTGAGTTGAACCCACCATGGTTTTTGTGGGTTAATGCTTGTGGTGTTGACTGACAAAGACTGAAACTAAATCAGCTAATTTTACAGGTTGAGTGTTATCATGTAACTATTTCAGTTAGTTCTCATGATTTCTAAAGTTTACGTTAATTTTACAATGATCAGGTTTTGTTTTTCTCACTTGTTTTTCACACACACTACGAGTCAGTTTGTATCAGCTGTGTTTGACGTTAATTCTTGTATCCATCTACTATGTGATGAGTTTATTCCACGTGGATGTTGGGGTTTTTTTAACTGCAAGACAGTAAACTTTCTTTGTTTACAACCAACCTGCTGTCAGTGTAGTACCACCAATTAGCCCGAAGTCAGGAACACAGACCTGTTTGGTGACCACTGGTTCCTAAGGCAAAATGGCTGCTCGAGGATTTTGGGTTGCCAGGAGGTCACTGACCAGTTTGCGTGTGTGACTGGGGCTGAAAAGACACATTGGGCTATGGGAGGACGCCAGAGTACGTGGAGAGAACCCAATCAGTTGTATTGAGAACATACAAATTCCACAATGATTGGCCAAAAACCGGCCTGGGCTAGCCTGAAATGCTGCTTAGATGTCACACAGAGTGCCTAGCCTTTGTGAAGAGGTGTGGACAACCTCTTTACCCTGAGAACACCAGTAGCAATAGGAATTCTGAGTATGCACAGGTCATTAAATCCCTGCTCTTTGTATATGGTTCAAGTTCAACTTCTGAGAGAAACAAGTGGTGTTCAACCACACAAGGTATCAGTTATACTGTAGTTATTGATGACTGATTAAAATAATCTTTAGGCTAATTCTTATTACCTGCCTGTTTGAGTGACTGAAATTTGACACCAATAAAAAAACCAAAACAAACACCTTTAACTGCAAATATATTTTACACTTAATTTCTGCTACTTCATATTTATGTGGGTCTTTTTTCTCCTCAGCTGATATTTGAGAAGGAGGGGGTATACCTCCACACAAATGCCAAGAGGAGTAACCAGGACACTAGCATCCCAGGGTTCATCCGCATTGTGGAGCGGGTAAGAAAGTCTGTGTGAGCTAAGACTGTTTAGGTCAAAGGTATGATCAGGAAAGCACGGGGGTAACCTATCATGTCTTTATTTTTTCAGGCTGGGCTGCCAGCTCTAGAGTGGAGTCCACTGGAGGATGACGGTCGCAACGCTCCTGCTGTACTCTACAGCAAAAAGGTTAGGAACCATCTATTTGCTACATGCTGAAGAATAAAAAGTATTTGTATTGTTATTAGCTCGAATAGGATTCTCATCCAATAATCTCCACCTGATCAGGATGGTGAAGGAGGGGAAGAGGATACAAACTTCGACCCAGGGTATGAGCCAGACTGGGCAGTTATAAGCACGGTGAAGAAAGAACGAGAACACGTCCCAGTCAAAAATTCAGGTGCAGTCTGCTTTTCTGGTGATCCTAGCAAAGGCTCGTGCTCAGAAAACTAAAATCTCCTCTTTTTTCTCACAGGTCAGTGGGCGTTCTCGCTGCCTCTCTCAGAGCTGTACTCTCTTCGGCGGTCTCGGTTCTCCTTGGGTCGCAACTTTCTCGTGCTGACTAGTAGAGGTGGTCACCCACTGCCTCCTTTGCACTTCCACAGAGGAGGAACCCGAGAACTGCTGAGGGCACTTCAGCGCTACATCATTCTGGACCCGTAAGCATCACTGCAATTGTTTTAGCAGCAGATTACTAATTACAGTGGAATGCCAGCATTGTTTACATGCTGGAGAAACCCTGATTAGTACCTCAGTTTCAGATGCCCTTTACTTCTTTGTCAGCGTGTCATGTGGTTTCTGTTCTTGTTATCAGGTCACCACTTGACGGGCGGCTCTTCCTTGCCTACCCCCAGGACTCAGGCACGCTCCCTCAGTCCTTTGATAGGCTGCAGTTTCTTGAGGATGGAGGCAATGATCTTGTCTCAGTAAGTAGATTTTTTTTGTTGTTATTTTTTTAGAGGATAGTGCACGTTGGATTTCTAATGAGTAATTTTTTTAAGTAATCTCGCACTTAATCGTTTTAAAATCTATGAATTACTAGCTTGTCCATTAACACCAGTGACCCGGTGATGAGGTCATCTTCCACCGAAGCAGAATCAGAACTTGAAAACAAAAGCTAATGTGGAAGTGCCATAATATCAATTTCCTCTAAAAGCAGCTTGAGCTATATAGATCCCCGATGTTAACACCTCCAACTGCAGAGTAGTAATAAACATGTTCATAGCATTTTTGCAGTTCAGAGTTTTTGGCCTCCAGAGCGAGTCTCCCCTCGGATGACGACTAATTCCGAAACCAATTTCAGATGTTTTTATGTTTAAAGTTGTTAGGTTTTGTAATGTTGATTGTCATTTATGCTTAGAAATATCTACTTATATATGCTTAGAGTTTTATAATTAGTTTTAGATTGGTAGAGGTGTTTAATTAATTGTGTAGTGATAGGATGTGTGATCTTTAGCAGGCTGCAAAGGCTTGGTGTGCATTCCAGAGTGTTCTGGAATCCACACCTAC